TGCCTGAGGAGGATCCAGGAGAACCAGAAGGGGATGTTGGACAAGGGCCTGGAGTGACAGGACAAGGAGGAATGACTTTACACTGCCAGAGGGCAGGGTAAGACGGAATTCTTCCCTGTGAGGGTGGGCAGGCCCTGGCACAGGTTGCCCAGAGAAGCTGTGGCTGCCCCATCCCTGGAAGTGTCCAAGGCCAGGTTGGACGGGGCTTGGAGCAACCTGGGCTGGTGGAAGGTGTCTCTGCCCATGGCAGGGTGGAATGAGATAAACTTTGAGGTCCCTTCCAAACCAAACCATTCTGTGATTCTATAACTTTCTTAATCTTTTCAAATCCAGGACTCTCCCAGTGTCCTTAGGGGGCACGAATGGAGTTGTCTTTGAGATCCTCCCTTCTGCCTCTCCTTTCTTGTGCCACAGTTTGTCCTACTTGAAAGGAATTTTTTGTATGGCCATAATTAGAAGGTGGATCTTGGAGAGAGGCAGACATGGGACTTGCTTTCTGAAGTAAAAGCTGCACTGCCTGTTTGTTTTGCTTTGTAATTTCTAGCAAATGAGAGTTGGATTTGCACAAGCTGAATCTCTGTCTTATCCCAGGTGTCATATGCACTTGTAGAGAAAAATCACCACATGAACAAGAGGGTGGTGGGGTTCTGTATATCCCATCTCTTCATAGCTTAAGGGCTTCGGTCACGAAGTGTCACTTGTTGCTCCTGGATGTGGAGTGCATATGGATTTCCCATCCCTGGAAGTGTCCAAGGCCATGTTGGATGGGGCTTGGAGCAACCTGGGCTGCTGGGAAGTGTCCCTGCTCATGGCAGGGGGTGGAACTGGATGAGCTTTGAGGTCCTTCCAGCACAGATGATTCTGTGATTCTGTGACATGGCTCATGTCATCTCTCCCTTACAGCTGAGGGAGTTAGTGACTGTGCTGGGAAGGAGAGGAGGGCAGGCAAGGGAGGAAGGCTCCCTGGCTACTGGGAGAGGGCATGGGCCTGTCTAGCTCTCTCCTGTAGGTCACAGACAGCAGCTGATGTGGACTGAAACACGAGGATGCTCTGGTTTAGAGGAGAAGATGTTTTTCAGGGAGGTGTTATTGCACATGACTTCAAAACATGGCCCAGCAGTTGCAGAACCGAGGATGTGCCGGTCAGGACAACCCCAGCTCCGTGGCAAGGGGAGAGTTTTGTCCTTAATGTCGTATAACAGAGCTCTGCACCCTGCAAATGATGACCATCATCAAGGGAAGCTGTGCCCGTACAGTCCATCAAAAGCCTCAGAGCTAATGATGGGCTGGGCAGATAATCGGGGGAGAGTTAATTGTAAGGTTCGATATGGCATCTTGTCAGCAGAGATAAGTTGTCACGTTTTCCACTTGAGCTGAAACTAAATGATTGTAAAATAAGTTATGAGTGTCCTTGGGCCTGTCTGCCAGAATGATGGCTAAGAATACATTCCTGGCCCATCAGTCTCAAGCAGCCCGCTTGATATTTATGCGAGCTGAATGTTATTTTATTCCCCCTCTAGTCATGCTTGTCAGCCTCCCGAGTGAAAAGTGAAACTGCTGCTTTGACTCATACTTCAAGTATTGAAGCTCGGAGAGGCTGCAGATTGTTATTATTATTACTAGTATTATATATTTTTTCGGGTGTGTGTTGAACATTGATGCCCGATTGGGAAGAACTAATGGCTGACATTGAACGTGCGGGATGGCTGGAAAACAGCCCATCCCAGCCCAGTGAAATGCAGCTTATGAGTTCCAGTGCCTCTGTCAAAGCTGGTTGAGATGGGGAGTAATGAGGCGCTTGCTTTTTTAATTTGCCATGCCTTTTCCTTGCCTTTTTTTTTTCCCTTCTTCCCCCCCCCCCATATTTAATAGTGCCGGCAGTGGCCGTCTGTTCTCAGGCGTGGTAATTGATACCAAATAAAATGCATTATTTGTATTCAGTCAGGAGGATGAAATTGCATTCAGCGGGCTGAAGCCTGAACTCATTTACAGTTTCCCGAAGCCCGGGCTTTCAGGAGCCCTCTTTTCAATTTGAAGAATCCCTTGTCAGGCAGGAGAAGGAGTGGGAAATGGGAGAGCGCAGCGTGTGAGCCCCAGCGCCTTTTGATTGCTCATATTTTAAACCAGGGGAATGTTAAATAACTCCCATCTTCAAAGGGTGGTCTGGGGAGCCGGGGCAGGGAGGCACCAGCAGTGTGGGCTCAGCACACAGGAGCGACTGGCCGAGGGGCAGGGAGAGCACTGGGCTCTCACTTCGGAGCCGTTTGATCCAAGGACAGCAGGTTGTTACCTGGAGACGGCTGTGGGTGAGGAGGATTCACCAGAGGAGGTCACTTCTTCAGCTCTGCGACGGCCCTCGCTCCTCAGGGCTCACGAGCAGGTTTTGTTGGGGTGATTTATGGCCCTGGAATTAGACGGAGCCACGGGGAGCGTACGGACCTACCGTCACCTTTGTAAACAGAATGTATTCTGCGGGTTTGCGTCAGGTTTGTGGCTTCTTCAGTGTTTTATGGGTCCAGGGCATCGTGGTTGATGCTGCAGTTGCATGAGGTGATGAACACAGATGGGTTTAATTCTTTCTGAAGTGAAAGATGAGAATGAGAGGGGGGGATGTGAAGCATTTTAAATCATAGAATCACAGAATGGCCTGGGTTGGAAGGGACCTTAAAGCTCATCTTGTTCCCCACCCCCTGCCATGGGCAGGGACACCTTCCACCAGCCCAGGTTGCTCCAAGCCCCGTCCAGCCTGGCCTTGGACACTCCCAGGGCTGGGGCAGCCACAGCTTCTCTGGGCAGCCTGTGCCAGGGCCTCAGCAGCGATGAAGACATCGATTAGCACTGGTCCCAGTACGGGTGCCCAAGGACAGCACTGATCACTGACATCCCTCAGGACTCTGAGAAGCTGTGCTAGATGTGAGCAAACCTTCCTGGCTGGTGTGCTCTGCTATCTCTCCGTGATATTTAGGTATTTTCTGGATTTTCACAAGCAAATGGGAATCAGTGAGATGCCTTTTGGTGCCACAGCCAGGTCCCTTTCTCACCAGTCTTGACTCAACACAGGAGTTTTCACATAATTACTGCAAAGAAGGGCGTTTTGTGGGGAGGTGTTTCTCCTCCTTTTTAAGTATCAACATAGGAACCTTCAGAATCGAACTGGAGGTCAGTATTTAGGACAGAAGTAACACCCAGTTGCATCCATGGCGTCCTCTTCTGCATCACCTCTTCCTTCAGTGTCAGAGAGCCAAAGGGATCCATGTCCCCTTGGCCAGGAGTATATGGGGCACTGTTGTGGGTTCTCATCAGGGTTTGCATTGGCATGGAGACAGCAAACCCTCCAGGAGAGCCACTGTCACCATTTATGGGTCAAATCCTTAGAATCTGCCCTACAGATATACAGCAAATACATTCCCATGATTCCCTTCTGGGGTTAAATACCTGAGGACTGGTTTCAATCTGGTGGATGTAGGGAAAAGAATAAATATCCTTAATAAAAGGATTAATGTTTGATTTGGTCTCTCTTGCCAGGCAATTAGCTACATAATTTATCCCCCACTAATAACTTACAGCACAACTGTGCTTGGGGGGTAATTAGTAAATAAACTTTATTATGAGAGAGAAAAAAAAATCCAAACAAGTTGTTTTTTATGAAATAGGCAGCTGTGTGGGAATTTAACTGTACCAAAAAAAAAAATAACCAAAAGCTGCTTTTTAAATAATCTTTGTCTTGATATTTTTCTGATATATTAATTAATCTTAAGTGAAATGCTGATACTGCACATAAGCTTTATATTAAGAATTTTTGTTCTTTTCCGTGTGTCCGTGATTCTGAAACCAATCATCAAGTATTTAACCCCAAAAGGCAATCATGGGAGTGTATTTACTGAATATCTGTATAGGAGATTTTAAGGATTTGACCTATAAATGCAGTCCTGGAATTGCACCGAAGTGCAATACAGTACTTAAGCAAGGTTCTGAAAATGGCTTCACTTTCCATAATAGCAAACACTTTCCTTAAAGTGTAGGTTTTATGTGAAGTTTTATGATTAAAGTCACAACCAGACCAGTAATTAAACAAAAATCATGTTACCAACCTTGAGGGAAAATCCTGGATTAAGGTTGCTTGAGTATTTACTGTGTGAAAGGACCCAGTCGGAGAAATTTCAAGTACATCTAAATTTCCTAAATTTGAGTTAAATTTGGCTGTTTATTTCGTGATTGCAAACAAGAACTAGTCAAAGAGAAGCTGTTGGTGTATGACCAACCATTCCATGGGCCAGGGAAGAGACTGTGGGTCTCTGCTCATGAGAGGGGGGTGTCATCTACCTTTAATTTTGATTTGGTTGAGTGAACTAATGGGCGGGCGAGGGGAGAAAATTACTCTCATTAAGTCTTAAAATGGTTGGATGTTGGGCTACCAGAGCTAATACAGCAGGAAACTGAACACACTAAAGATGGGCTTATTTTCTTTGCTTGGCAGCAGGTAGGAATGACCCTTTATTGCAGTTGTCACTGTACCAGGTGCACGTTGGTCACCTTGTTTGCCCATCTCTATTGCCATCACCTCCTTTTCGGTGTGTCTGATACTGATGACAGTAGGTACATCCAGAGGGTGTTGGGGCACCTGTGGCCCGTTATGTATTAAAATGTTCAGGTGTTACAGGAGTTAATTTGAGGATCGGGAGATCTTTGTGAGAAAGAGTAACTGGAAGGAATAAAGAGCTTTCCCGTTGTTTTTGTGCGTTCCTGCTGGGCTCCTTCAAAAATCGACACCGAGTCCTGTCGATGGAGTAGGACTTGAATCAGCACTTCAGCCACGTTGCTTTTTTGGTACCGTTTTGAGCAAATAATGGATGTTGTTGGGAGCCTTTGGAAGTCGCCGAGCTCCAGAACAGAGCTGCTGGCAGACAGCACGGGGTCGTACCTCGGATTGTAGCAATCGTTCATGTAAATCACGCAGTGGTTTTAGTTCCCTCTCCTTGTCTTCCCCCACCCCACTGCAGATACGGGCCTAGGAGACTCTGTGTGTTCCAGCCCCAGCATATCCAGTACGACGAGCCCCAAGCTGGACCCCCCCCCTTCCCCTCACGCCAACAGAAAGAAGCACCGGCGGAAGAAAAGCACAAGCAACTTCAAAGCTGACGGGATCTCGGGCACAGCTGAGGGTAAGTCTGCTCCCTGGGGCAGGGCTCCACTCTGAGAACACCAGGGCAAGGGCTGCTGGTCACTCAGCTCCACCGCCGGCTCCGGTTCCAGAAGGTAAAAGGGAACTGTGCTGCAGGGGAGAAATTAAAGGCTGAGCTTTTAACGGTGGAGCTGAATCATCTGAGGCATCGCGATGGTGAATTCACCCACCTGAAACGTGTTTGGAAAGGGCTTTTGTAATAAATAAGAGTCCCCGAGTTAAAGTGGAGCATCATTAGGTATAAAGGCAAGGAAGAGGCAAACTTGGAAGGTTAACAAGGAAGAAAAATTCAGGTTTGCTCCGTAGATCGCGTTAGGACTTGTGTATTTTTTCGGTATTATTAAATCTTGTGTTATCACATCTCCTAAGGCACATCCTGAGCTCTAGAATCACCAACACTTCTGATGCCTCTTATTGTTTGAATATTCAGCTGCTCATGGAAAGCTTGTGTTATTTGAGGATAAAAGGGAAAAGGGGAGAGTTTAAATGTTTGGGTTCTTTTTTTTTTCAGAGCCAGAAAGCAAAAGGCAAAAAGAACTTCTTTTTTTCCCTTAGTTTAGCTTACTGTTTCCAATGTGAACACTGCTCTAGCTGTTCAATGCCCTTCTGAAGGGGTAACAATGTGTACAGGAGCCAGGTATGATATAAAACATGCTTGTAGCTTTAGAAAAGAAGAAAAGAAACATGCCAGGTTTCAACCCAAAAGAGCTCCAGAAAAAAAGGATGAACAAGGGTAGTGGAAGGCTCAGAAACTGGGGAGTCAACACATAAGGAGAGATGAAAAACGGAGACAATGGAATAACATTGTGGGAAAAGGGGAGTGTTGAGTAAGAAAAAGATGTGGTTGTAAGCATGGGAGAGTGAAAAACAGCTAATTCAGTATCAAAGAGGGTTGGAACAAGTTCTGAAAAAAAGATGACAATTGCAGACAGCTGAAGAGACATTAAAAATAGATGTGATAATAGTATACAACTGAGAAGGGGCATGTTAACTACTACTTAGTCATCCTTATTTTCCATTTATTTAATTTCTCAATTGCACTTCTCTCACATCCGCAATTTATTTCCCCAGCTATCTATACAAATCCTTTTTTTAAAAAGCCATCAGCTTTTTTTCATAACAGCCCCTGTTGTGTTCTCTTTCCAGTCATTTAACTATCTTTGCTATCTTAGTTTCCCCCTAGTCTATGGCCTGAAGCCAAATTTTAGTTCAACCTTTCATTTTTAATTTGCCTTTTTTTTTTTTTAAACAAGCCCTTTTACACCACTTATTTTCATACCTCAATGGCAAGTTACAGAGGGGATTTTTCAGAGCAATCACCATTGGTCCAAGACTATTTTGTTGAAGTCAATGTGAATCAAGACCAGCTGGATATCAAGAGCCTTTGAAAACCTCTTTCTGAGTAGTTAATGGGTGTATGTTTTCTTTCTCCTGGGGAGATTATTTTCACAAGTCACTGGAGCTGGAGCCTGTGTGGTCCTGGGCTGTAGGGGGGTCTGCAGTTGTGAATCTTGTCCCTGATGTCCCTGTTCTCATTGGAGTGGGCAGTACATCCCTCATCCTCCTCTGTTTACCCTTCCTCTTCTCCTTGTCTTCCAACATCACACCATGTTAGTCTGAAATCTTTTGCAATAACTCAACAAAATGGTCCCCTCTCATATGGGTGGGATAAATGTGCTTCCAGAAGGGCTGACAGGCAGCAACTAAGACATACATAGGGAGCCTTGAAAGTGGTAGAATCATTTAGGTTGGAAAAGCCCTCTAGTCGTTCCCCCAGCACTGCCAGGTCACTAAACCATGTCCCCAGATGTCACATCTGCAGGTCTTTTAAATCCCTCCAGGGATGGGGACTCCACCCTGGGCAGCCCTTTCCAATGGTGACCACCCTTTCCAGCAAGAAATTCCTCCTGATGTCCAACCTGACCCTCCCCTGGCACAGCTGGAGACCGTTCCCTCTTCTCCTGTCCCTTGTTCCCTGGCAGCAGAGCCTGACCCCCCCCGGCTCCCCCCTCCTGTCAGGGGGTTGCAGAGCCAGAAGGTCCCCCCTGAGCCTCCTTTTCTCCAGGCTGAGCCCCCCCAGCTCCCTCAGCCGCTCCTGCTACTCCAGCCCCTTCCCCAGCTCTGTTCCCTTCCCTGGATGTGCTCCAACAGTGAGTGCCAGCACTTGCTTGTACAGGCTTTGTAGCTCTGCATGAGCCCATCAGCTTCCTCTGACCTGCCTCCTCTCACATGTCTTCTGAGATGAGCACTCTGTGGTGTTTGGGGCCTGCAGTTGTGTCTTGGGTGGGCTGCAGTGGTTGTTAAGTTCTTTATTTTTGTAACACCTCCTTTCAAACACAGCCCAGCGAAAAGCAGCGGTTTGGCCACAAGAGCACATGGTGTTCTGGGCATCCTTCAGCACACAGCTCATCTTCGTGGTCCTTGAGTGCTCAGCAAGGCTGGGAGGAGGTGGCTGACAGCGAGGACAGTCTGTCGGCGGGGGCTGAGGGAGGAGGCAATGAGCCGTGCTCGAGCTCCTGTCCTTTCAGGAGAAGGGCATCTCACAAAGAGTGATGGTGGCTGTAGGTTCCCAGTAAGTAGCAAGACTCACAAAGCCTGGGGGTTGCTGTCTCCAAACCCTGGCATGTGGGCACGCAGCCTTTGTGTTTTCTGGGTCTTGTGTTGGTGCAAGCCAGAGTCACAGAGCCACTGAGGTTGGAAAAGCCCTCTAAGATCCTCGAGTCCACTGTTAACCCAGCCCTGCCAAGGCCACCACTGACCCGTGACCCTGGGAAGGTACATTTGGTATGTTTGTGGTTGTCCAGACACTGTTCATATCCCTGAGCTTGCTGTGATGTTGTGTGATGGGAATAACTCCAGTCCTGGGACAAGCTGTGTCACAAGCCAGTCTGCTGCTGGTGGGGCGTGTCCCACGTGGTTCAGGCTGTTACGGGTTTTTCTCCAAGTAGTTGAATGGAGCTGTGTCAGGGGGGATTTAGGCTGGATCTCACAAAAAGGTTCTTCCCCCAGAGGGTGGTTGGCACTGAACAGGCTCCCCAGGGTTTGGTCACGGCCACAAGGCTGCCAGAGCTCCAGGAGCATTTGGATAACACCCTCAGGGACAGAGTGGGATTGTTGGGGTGTCCTGGGCAGGGCTGGATGGTCCTTGTGGGTCCCTTCCAGATCAGGATATTCTATGATTTTCACATCTGTCTTGTACTTCAAAGCAGTTTTCAGTTCAGTAGTTCAGCCTTTCCTCAGGAAAAGGCTGATTTCCTTGTTCCCCAGCGTGCAGCTACAAATCTGTCCAGTGACCTAAAAGATTCCCTTTTGGATTTTTCTTCCCCCGCACTATGCTCTATGTGATCATAGATTTAAGCCCTCAAGGAGGTTCTGAAGAGCACAAATCCAAATTAAGCAGTCAAAGATGTTCTGGGAGATGCACGTTTTGCCTTGGCAACTTTGATCAAGTGCTTGAGATGCAGCAGGTGACTTGCTGAAAATGGGCTACAGGAGCCCATGGTGATAATCGTGGGAGATCCATGTCTTCCTTCCTTCTGGAAATGCTGAGCTCGGCGTGCAGAGGAGGAGGATCCTCCTGCAGTCGCTGTTCTCAGGCAGGTACAATGGATCAGAGTCAAGTGATGGAGGTAATTCTAGATTTTATGTCGCCTTCCTTTGGCTCTGGGCACGTTTCAAGTGTCAGCTTTCAAACAGGAATTCTGGGTTCCTTCATTTTTGTCTGTACCAAAGCTGAGGTGTTCAATGAGGTTTAAATCTGGTCTTCAGCAAACTCGAGCATTTTTACTGCACTTTGCAGTCTTTTTTTCTCCTCCTTGAACGTGCCTGCTTTGATCATTGACCTCTGCCCAAGTATTCAGATATCACGATGATGGACACTGAGCTCAGGGTGATTCACCAATTCCAAGGACTGATGCTCATCCCTTTTATGCCCTTCCATAAAGGTCATGCTGATTCTTCTTTCTCCACACTATCTGCACATGCACAGCCCTCTCTTTCTGGGATGGATTCTTTCATCTCACTTGGTTTGTCTTTCTACAGGTTTTCTTAGACAATGGTCACAGCAACAAAAATACTAAAGCAACTGTGCTGCAGTTGGATGAAAATTAAAATTCAGTTCCTATATTGGAAAATCAGATTCTTGTGAAATTTTTTTTTTCCAGCGCAGTGAAACCCGGGGAGAAGTTTTTTAGTTCTCTGTACAGAACTTGTCACTGAAAAAAGTCCCTCGGTGTTTTTGAGGGTAACAGCAGGAATGCTTACATTAGGCAAGGTGCCAGCAACCAGCAGGTTTTTTTCCCACCATGCTGCCTAAACTTGCTCGGAGCAGGATTAGACAGTGCTGTGTTTCAAAGAGGAATAGCTGCTCAGAGCCTGATCTGTTTTGGTACCCTTGTGCTGCTGCAGTTACTGGAACAGCCAGTGATAATAGGAAGGATTTTCAGCTTGAAAACAAGTAGAAAAATTGAAAAGCTTTCTTGGAAATACTCTTCACAGAAAGACCTTTCCCAGTGTTTATTTTTCTTACTCTTATTAGTTTTAAAGCTTCATAGCTAAGACAGCTTGAACCTGCCTTCCCTCCATCCACCACTGAGATGTTAGGAGCTGCAGAAAGCCCAAGGTGTGTCTGTCTTTTGATGTTGGGATCATCTGTGCCCTGCAAGCCTTCCACTGACTAAGAGCTCTGGCCCGTGGGGCCAGTGTTGCTGTGGGGCCAGCCTGGCCACATCCAGGTGGATGGGAACATCCCCTCCTTCCCTCAGGGAGACCACAGAATCCCAGAATGGTTTGGGCTGGGAGGGACCTTAAAGCTCAGCTTGTTCCATGGGCAGGGACACCTTCCACTAGCCCAGGCTGCTCCAAGCTCTGTCCAGCCTGGCCTTGGACACTTCCAGGGATGGGGCAGCCACAGCTTCTCTGGGCAGCCTGTGCCAGGGCCTCCCCACCCTCCCAGGGAGGGATTTCTGTCCTCTCTCAGCA